AGGGGCTATATAACCTTTCAATCTTAAGCAAGAGTAGAACAGGCCAAGGGCCTTCTATCCCCTCCTCTCCCTTCTAAGCCTCGGTCCTCTTCCCATGCACCTCTCTCCCCTCGCCATAGCTAACGCCTACACCTCCCCTAACCCTAGCCGTCGCCACCCAGCGCCCCCTCCCAACAGGGCTCTGACACTGGTATCCAAAGACCAAACGATCCGATGGCCACCACCACCAAGATCATCGACATTGATGCAGTCTGCAACAGCGCCCACAACATCATCGATCAATTGGCGAAAATGGGCGACAAGTTCTTCAACGTCAACACCAACAGCAATCCACTGATGCCCGACGCCGCTACACCCTTGTTGCTCGCTGCACCCCGCAGCGACCATGCAACAAGCAGCATCGCCGCTAGCCTTCCCTGCAGTGGCCTCGCCACCAAGCTGATGGACAACGACGCTCGCTTGAGCAACAGTGAGCATGCACGTTCCAAGGAGGACCTCGACATCTATAACATGATCAATCGTTGGAAGACGATGTTTGACGAGTTCTTCACTCGCCCTGACAATTCTCCACCAATAGCAGATCCACCTCAACCAGAGATCCCCACTCCGGCAATCAAGTACAAAGGAGTTGGAGCAGACGTCTTCCTCAAGCCCTATCAACGATCAAGCAAAGCCGCAGCACGAGGACGCGCTGTCTGGAGAAGGGGGAAGAGATGTCATATGTCTAATGGAGGGCCTAGGCCGGCTAGGTCTGGGCTGACCGCGCCACCAGGAGGGGGGCACGACCAGCGAAGGGGCGGCCTCCCACCGCGCCGCCGACATCTAGATCCGGGAGGATTAGGATTAGCTTGCTTAGAGGATAAGTTAGATTGCTTAGAGGCTAAGTCTCCCAGGACTATAAAGACAGAGGCTATGTAACCTTTCAATCTTAAGCAAGAGTAGAATAGGCTAAGGGCCTTCTATTCCCTCCTCTCCCTTCTAAGTCTCGGTCCTCTTCCCCTGCGCCTCTCTCCCCTCCCCATAGCTGACGCCTACACCTCCCCTGACCCTAACCGCCGCCACCCAGCGCCTCCTCCCAACAGGGCTCTTACACAGTGCTTGGAGGAACCCATGGTTCCTCTCCGTGGATTTTTTTGGCCACCTATAAAATACTAAAGTTTGCCCCTGGGCTAATTAACGTGGGAATACTCTTAGCGTGGACTAGATTTCTAGGAGCCTGGCCGCTTGGCGTCATGCATGGCTGCCGCAGGGCACTTGGCCGCATGGCCCCTGCTTTTCTGGCCGTCAGAGCAATAGCAGACGGCGCCACGTCGGGACCAACGGGTTGTGGCAACATCGACGGAGCGACTAGCTGCGGTGGAGCGGCGGGCAGCAGCAGCGCATCCTGGGGCGGCGGCGGCATGTTGCTCACCCATGGCTCGTTGTCCATAAGGGCCTGATCCAGGCGGCGGCCACACTCCATGGGTGCCGGTAACAAACGGCAGCATCGACGTTTGACTTATCATAAACCTAGGAGAGCGAGGAAACTGCAAAGGCCGCCCATCGTGGGCCACGCACGCCGGGGAGCCTCCATGCTAGATCCCGCGCTCTGCGAACCGCGCCTGCCGGGGGCTGCCGCGACGACCATGCTTGGAGAGGTAGGAAGCTGTGAGAGACATGAGAGAAGGAGAGAGAGAGAGCAACTTCTGAACACGATAGTATTAATTTAGTAAAATTTTACGGCGCTCGTAAAATAACGAGAGCCTTTCGTTTTTATTAAATTTGATGGTTTAAAAATAGAAGTAACTTAAGTTGTGGTTCGGAAAAAAAATATGTGGACATGAAACTGGTTTCTAATTAAATTTAGATGGTATAACAGTATTTTTTTTATCCGAATGTTCTATCCAGCCCCCTCCCTCTCGATGCGCTGGCGGCGCGGCGACCCCTTGCACTCGTCAGGCTATGATGCGGGTGCTCCTTGGACGCGTGGATTACCATAGCCAGGCCTGCAGCTCCCTCCATATCCTAGCGCGGTCGGCGCGGCGACCCTCCCTCTCCTAGCCGGTCCTCAATGATTCCTGCTTGCTGGTTAACATGTGACAGGCCACCGGAGAGAACACCGTGAGGGCGTCCGCTGAGGCGAAGCTCAAGGTGGCGATCAATGGCTTTGGCCGCATTGGCCAGAACTTCCTCCGGTGCTAGCACGGCCATGACGACTCCCCGCTTGACGTTGTAGTCGTGAACGACAGCGGAGCCATGTTATTAGGACCGGACCGGAGATTGAACCGGTAAGGACATCGGTTCACTGGTTCACTGGTCCAACCGTTAAGAACCGGTTGAACCGCTGGTTCGATAGTTTTGGACCGGATGAATTGAACCGCCCACAAATATTTTGAACCGGTGTAATATAATAATATACAATAAATAATCAATAACATATAATTGAATAATTGATTACATATGCAAATTAGATGATAAAGAAACATAAAATGCGCATGAAAAGATAATATATGGAGTATTTATAAATTGGTAAAAAAACTAAATAGTAATTTAAATATTCATCATTGTAAAACAATCTCAAATACTGAAATGGAGTGCACTATTGTGAAGAGGTCATTCAGATAATCAAAATGGATATATTATTTTTGTTCACATTTGGTTTTAACTAGAGGGCTTATCGGCCCACCAACATGATGTTTCTTTTTCTCGAATAAAGCAAAGCAGCACATGCCCAGGGTTTATCAGCCCAAAAATCAACCATCGAAAAAAGTTTTGAATTTTTAAAATTTAAAAGACACGTGAAGGTCCAGTACTCCGAAAGTCCAATCAACGAACCACCTGCGTAAGCGCGTGCACAACAGGTGGGGCCCTGTGGGGACCATCGCAGCAGGTGCACAGCGGATGCACGCCACCAGCCAGAGCAGACTGCACGCACAGCAGTACAGCACCATTCCGGACCGGCCGGTTCAATGCAAGATTTGGAGCCAATTTCCAATAATACCCCTAACTAGATAAGGTCGTCCTGGGTGCACAGAGGGGTAATTTTGAAAAAACTCAAAAACTCACCGGTTCGTATGGAACCGGCCGGTTCACCAGTTCCGTAAAAAACCGGCCAGTTCAACCGGTTTTTAGCGGTTCGATTGCACAGACGGTCTTTTAAGTGAACCGGACCGGTGTAGACTCTGGTTCGATCTTTTAACGGTCATAACCGCCGGTCCGGTCCGGTCCTAATAACTAACTAGGCAGCGGAGGCGTCAGGAACGTACGTGAAGATTGATGCCAACTGAAGCCGCAGGGCCGCACTCGTATTCAGAATTTCAGACGCTTGCCACGAATTCTGATAGAAATTTGCATTATATTATATTGGTAATGTTTTTTCCCCTGTTAATTCCAGGCGTCTCACCTTCTCAAGTACGACTCGATACTCGGCACCTTCAAGGTCGACGTCAAGATCGTCGACGACACGACCATCAGGGCCGATGGCAAGCCCATCACGGTCGTCTCCAGCAGGGACCCTCTCAAGCTCCCATGGGCTGAGCTCGGCATTGACATCGTCATCGAGGTACAGCCCTCCCCAGTGCAAAATGTACATCCATGTTCTAGTCACCGCGGACGTAGTAAGATTGACAGTTCCGAACTGTGTCCTGAAGGGAACCGGAGTCTTCATCGACGGCCCCGACGCCGGCAAGCACACCGCAGGCGGCGAGGCAGCAAGCCACCGACCTGGGAGGCAGCGACGCAGGGAGCAGCGAGATCCTGCAAGTAGGCAGCAGCGAGTCCCCATCGTGGAATTGGGTTAGGGAGCCAGAGATTGTACCGGAAAGGAAAAGTACTAAACTGCCCTTAGACATAATTAATTAATTTTCTTAATTAATAGCTGCGTAAATAATTTTCAAGGAAGGAACCACCGGTTCCTCCCAAACACTGTAACAAAGCTCTAAAAATATATAAATAATATATAGCCATATTTGCCCGTCAAATTGATATTTATCACTTAACTCACTGTGGCGCCTGATGTTCTAGTAAAAATTAAAATAACATGGGGGCCTCCACATCCGACATGATGCTGGATCTGCCCCCTGCATAGGCACCCATAGGTATGCCTCATTGTCTCAATCATCGTTTGGCGAGGCTTTTACCTGTGTACCCTTAAAAAAGATGACACACTCCTGCGTACCCCTCAAAAGTTGATCGTCACCTACATGCCCTCGCTCGAACTTTTCTTTTCCCTCACACCATTCCGTCGGCATTTGCTCCTAACGGTGGGTAACAGCTCTGGAGAATGACTCAGTTGCCCTTGGACTTGTATGGGCGTCTGAACTTTTTCGTTTCTCCTGTGCCATTGCCAGGCCATTTGGCTTTGGCGCCAGAGATGCCGATGTTGGCGCCAAAGGACAGGGATTTGGCGCCAAAGAGCCTACCCTTCTCCTCCTATATATTGGTGCCAAAGACTAGGGAGTTGCCACTCTCTTGAGCTCTCTCTCTTTGACAGCCATGTCACAAGCTACCTTTGTGTCCTCTCCCATATCATGCATTTGGTCCTTGCTTGTTTTCTACTGTAGAGTGTACGATCATTTTTTTAAATTCTTTGTTCCACCCAGGCACAGCTTTGCTCGAAAGAATGTGTTTTTCTATCTGGATTCCTGCCTTACAACTCACTTCCAGTCTTTCATTAATCAAATCACAGGAAAAAAAAATAATCTACTCACTCCGTTCAAAAAAAACGTGTACAGGTTCAATTGCGTTTTTTTCTTAAGTTTTGGCGTTTTGCAATAGGAAAACTGTGATACTCTTGTTACCGTGGTTAGATTTCTATCACTCCTTACTTTCATTATCAACAAAGATTTCTAACACTTTGGTTTCTCTGTTTTTTTTTGTTGTTGTTGTCATTGCTTGCAGGTGCGTACATCGGCGTTAACATTGGCACGGCCATGTCGTCGGTCCCGGCGCCGACGCAGATCACCACGCTGCTCCGCTCGTAGAACATCCGCCACGTCCGCCTCTACGACGCCGACCCGGCGATGCTGGCGGCGCTGTCCAACACCGGCATCCGCGTCATCGTGTCCGTGCCTAACGAGCAGCTGCTGGCCATCGGCAACTCCAATGCGACGGCGGCCAACTGGGTGGCGCGCAACGTGGCCGCGCACTTCCCCTCCGTGAACATCACTGCCATCGCCGTGGGCTCCGAGGTGCTGTCCGCGCAGCCCAACGCGGCGCCGCTGCTCATGCCGGCCATGCGCTACCTCCAGAACGCGCTGGTGGCCGCGGCGCTGGACCGGTACATCAAGATCTCGACGCCGCACTCGTCGTCCTTCATCCTCGACTCCTTCCCGCCGTCGCAGGCTTTCTTCAACCGGTCGCTGGACAGCGTGCTGGTGCCGATGCTCAAGTTCCTGCAGTCCACGGGGTCGCCGCTCATGCTCAACGTGTACCCGTACTACGACTACATGCGCTCCAACGGCGTCATCCCGCTGGACTACGCGCTGTTCCGGCCGCTGCCGCCCAACAAGGAGGCCGTGGACGCAAACACCCTGCTGCACTACACCAACGTGTTCGACGCGGTGGTGGACGCAGCCTACTTCGCCATGGCGTACGTCAACGTCACCAACGTTCCGGTGATGGTGACGGGGACCGGGTGGCCGCACAAGGGCGACCCGTCTTCGGAGCCCGACGCCACCTCCGACAACGCCGACACGTACAACAGCAACCTCACCTCATCCGGCACGCCCAAGCACCCCGGGGTTGACGTGCCGACCTACATCTACGAGCTGTACGATGAGGACACCCGGCCCGGCTCCACGTCGGAGAAGTCCAGTACTTTGGCGCCAATATACAGGAGGAGAAGGGCAGGCTCTTTGGCGCCAAATCCCTGTCCTTTGGTGCCAACAGTGGCGTTTCTGGCGCCAAAGCCAATTGGTCTGGCAATGGCACAGGGAAAACGAAAAAGTTCAGACGCCCATACAAGCCCAAGGGCAACTGAGTCATTCTCCAGAGCCGTTACCCACCGTTATGAGCAAATGCAGACGGAATGGCGTGAGGGAAAAGAAAAGTTCGAGCGAGGGCATGTAGGTGATGACCAACTTTTGAGGGGTACGCAGGAGGGTGACATCTTTTTTAAAGGTACATAGGTAAAAACCTCTCGTTTGGCCTCTATTTCCGATGCCTCACACTCGCAACATATCTCATCTCATGCCAACTTGAGGTAGACTAAGCTCCTATTGTCAGTTGTCACCCTCCCCATATGTAGCAAATAAAAGTGGCAAGAAACAATGGACATGACTACTAAGAAGCTTATTCAGCCACCGTCATGTGTACATATATATAAGCACTAGTATGTGAATGCTATGAATGTACGAGAACTTATAAGTACTAGTATTTTAGTATTTCACTAGTGGGTATGTCAATCTATTTTATCATGCTATCGAGTACCAGTTATATTAAATGGGAATCAAAATCAATCCATTATTGATGTTTGCACATGGTCTTGGGTGCTTGTAGGATCAAATGATAAATGTATCTGGCGAACATTGGGATGAAAGCTTGGGATTAAACTCACAAGATACTATGGACAATTCAATTGATTTTGTGATATTCTGCTAGTCTTAATAAAAAAAATAAACATGTACAAGTGCATAAACAATCAAAATATGCATAGTCATGTGACTTCTTACAGACTAGGTATACCAGCTGCTGACCATTGCAGGAGGAATAGGATGCTGACATTCATTGGCTTTCTCATAAAGAGAGGAGATTAGTGAAAAACTAGGACTTTAATCCAAAGTACTCTTAATCCAATAAGCATTTCTCAACACAGTATAAAAAGAACCAAAAACTGCAGCGCTCTCTCTCTATACAAGATTCATATTTAAAAAATGAACACATAATTACATACCCATACAGACCAAAACATGAGGGGGAAAAATAATAAGAAAAATTAACAAGATTCATATTTAAAAAATGAACACATAATTACATACCCATACAGACCAAAACATGAGGAAAAAAAGAATAATAAGAAAAATTATAAGCAGGCAAACAATTTGGAACAACGTGATGTACGCATGCATATGCATGCCAACCGAAGAGCTAGTTGTGTATGTTCAGCGTTCTCGCCTTATCTTCTGTTATTTTTGGTTCTTATATTTTTCTATGCTTATACTCTGTAGTTGGGCTAGTTGCTTCTGGTTATAAATCTAATTTTTGACGTAGCAAAGGAAGTGCTAGTTATTTGTTTAGCATTCGTGAAAAAGAAGTGTTCTTGTTCACCAGTTATAGGAAATTGTTCTCTAGATGCATGTCCCCGTTCGTTTCTGTAATTAACTTTTTTTTTGTGCAATTTGTGTGTACCATGATGCATCTTCACAACTTGTTTGCATTGCTGCTGTAAAATTTGAAGTAATTGGTCCAAAGGTGAAGAATGGACGTGACTGGTTTAAAAATAATGCAAACTGTTTCAAATTTAGCTACACCAATCCCTACCAAGTCTGTCAAAATATAGTATAAACCTTTGATCCCAAAATAGAGGTAAAATCACAAAGACCTCTAACAAAATACAGGCAAAATCATATGGAAAAACTTGCCTTTTCATCCAAAAGAGAACTTCACGGAAGGCAAACTCTTCCTTCAGTTTAATTCGAAAACGCAGGGGTAAAATCACAAAGTTTAAAAAATAAGGACAAAATGACCATTTCCGTTCAGAACGAGGACATGAATTCCAAAGCCCATAAAATTTTTACCCTTTCAAAAAAAAGTGTCTTTGTTTTTGTACTGCTCCTAGCAAGTCAATGTATGAAAAACAAAAGCTATTCATTTGTTTTGGCCCAAGGTGTGATACACAGCACAAGCTTAGAAAAATCACTAAGGAGCACACTAACGATCCAATTTTCCACCGAATAAATTCAGTATACATATGAGATTGGCGTCCACAGTTTTTTTTTTTTTTTGAGCGGTGGCTTAAAGTATGTTGTTAAATACAAAAATATCTCATATGAGTCATCTTCAGGTTCAACTAGTCTCCAACGGACGTTTTTAGACTGTATCTCTGATACAAATCTATGGAAGCTTAGGCTACCTAGGAAGGACAGGAACCTTGCCGATGTATGGGTAGGTGTTTTCAGAGCTGCAATGTAAGAAATTGATCACTTGAAGATCAAAAGATGTAAAAGTTTTTGTAACTCAGTGCCACCATTCAATCAATACAAAAATTCAGGTGGGGATCCTCCCCCCCCCTGGTGACCATCAAAAAAAAATCTCATATGCTCTTTCTCAATGATTTTGCCCTCCAATTTCACAATCCCTAGAGTGTAACACAGGCATGTAGCTAGGAGCCTCTTTGACGTAGCTCAAAAGCTACGGATTCACATGTAACTCCCACTACTATTTACCGTAACAGCTCTATCTTTGCTTAAAAATAATTAAACTAAACTGTAGGAAGAGAGAGAACGGTGAAGCAAGGTGTTATGGGCTTCATAATGTGAGCTAAAGCCTCCTAAACCCCACCAAACAACTTCCTCTAATTTCCGATGCCTCGCACTCACAGTAGGGCCTCGTTTAGATTGCAATTTTTTTGCAATCTGGACACTGTAGCACATTTCGTTTGTATTTGACAAACTTTGTCCTATCATGGACTAACTAGGCTCAAAAGATTCGTCTCGTGATTTACAACCAAACTGTGTAATTAGTTATTTTTTTTACCTACATTTAATACTCCATGCATGCGTCCAAAAATTGATGTGATGGAGAGAGAGTGAAAAAACTTGGAATTTTGAGGTAATCTAAACAAGGCCTAGATCTCATCTTATGCCAGCTATAGAGCTAGACTGTCAAATTTCTCATGTCAGTTGTCACCCTCCTTCGTAGTAGCAAATAGAAGTGGCGAGCTACAATGGACATGATGATAGGAAGCCTATTCATACCGTTATGTGTACCTATATATATATATATGCACGAGATATGAATGCCATGAATATATGAGAACTTAGCTACTAGTATTTTAGTATTTCACTAATAGGTAGGCAATTTATTTTATCATCATGTCATCTTGTACCAGCTATATTCAATGGGAATCACTCGATTATTGATGTCTGCACATGGTGTCTTCGATGCTAGCAACCTTGGGATGAATCAAATTAAAGTCACGAGATACTAAGGACGACTCAATTGATTTAGGACGATATTCTGCAAGTTTTGATAAAACAAATTAAACATGTTTTTTTTTGAAAAAAAAATATGCACAGATGTTTAAACCACTATAAAGATGCATAGTCGTGGATAATGTGACTTCTTCACATGGCCGGCTGCCGGCTGCCAGCTGGCATTGACTAACAAAGGGTCTTTATTTCCTGATGAGGCGTTTGTTGCCAATGCCAACTAGTGCTATATGAGCTGCTGCCTTTGCCACAAAGAGAGGAGATTAGTGAAAATTCCAATACTTGAATCCAAGAATACTCCTATTAGCATTTCTCAACAGTGTAAAAAGAACCAAACTGCAGCTCTCTATACATATATCCATGTACAAGATTCATAATCATAGTTTAAAAAAATGAACACGTAATTACATACCCATACACACCAAAACACGAGAGAGAGAGAGAGAGAAAAGATGAAGAAAAATCTGTGCAGGCAAACAATTTGACACAACGCGGTGTACGCGTTCATGTCCACGGCGTTTAGAAGAGGTAGCCGAAGACAAGCGCGGTGAAGGAAGCAGCGGCAAGAGCCGGCGCGGCCATGGACGCGCCGGAGGTCGGAGCGGGCGCCGGTCCCTCAGCCGCTGAGGCCGTGCCGACCAGGGACGAGGCGACGACGGCGGCCGCCGCGGCCACGGTGAGGATCCTGAGCTTCAGGGTGGCCGCCATTTGCTTCGTTCTTGGTGGAACGACGAGATGGATTGCTTGCGAGTGCAGCGAGGAAGAAGCTGTGGAGGCTGTGTGAAGCTCGTGTTGGATCGCGGATGGAGGGGACGAGATCGCTTGGCGTGGTGTTATATACAGCGAGGGTCTGAGGCAGGTAGTAGGTAGGTAGGGGAGGCGAGCCTTGGAAACAAAGGAGTCTGGCTGGAAACCATCTGGCATTTCTCCGGTGATTCGCTCGTGGCCGCCCCGCCATTCGTGGCCGGTTTGGTGGGCTGCTTCGCTGGTGTTGCGTGATGCAGCATCGTTCAATACTGGCCGCTTGATTGATTGCCTGGCTTAAAACACGGGGGCTGTTGGGGGGAGAAAGAGAGCCTGGCTGGCTCTGGCCGGCCGGCGGCCGCTGCCCGCTGCCTGCCTAACTGTTGCTGACGGGTTGGGTCCCCATTTGTACTACCCGTGGTGGACTGGTGGTGTTTGATCTGTCTTTATTAATTTATAGTGCAATTAGCTGGTTCTGTCCGTAGACAGCCACACCCAAGTGCTGACAGCCCGCATCCAGCTGAGTGCTCTCTTGACAGCGTGTTACGTATCTAGTAGTAGGACTATGTGTGTTGTTTGGCTGTCGCAGTGTGGATTTTTTATGACGATGGGTTTGAGCTGCGTGGTGAGATCGATATAAAGACGGTCTCTTGCCTAGTAAACTGAAATTTTATCGGACTTGCTAGCGCGCGGACATTCGATCCGGAGTGTTAGCGTCGGGCGATGTCTGCTGCATGCCCCACAAGTACACGCGATTTGCTCGCACAGGCGGGACTGCCCTGCGCTGCTCTGTTCTCGCGTGAAGGCCCGCTCGCGCCCACTCCGCTTCCGGACCGCTTGCACCCACATGGGGTCCCAGTCACCTGCCCCGCCTATGGTTGCGCTCCGCAGATGCGTCTACCGGCCTCAAGCGCCCGCACGTTGACCCAAGGTGGCGTCCAACAACTGCATCAGGCGGTTGTGACGGGTGGGTCCCATTGCAACATGTGCAACACCAGATCTACTTTTGCAATGTCCAGATAAAACAGTTGCAACGTATGTCTGAAACAGCTGAAACACTTGCAACATACGTCTGAAATACTTGAAACATATGCTTGCAACATGCATTTAAATATGCAACATCCAGATCTACTTTTGCAATGTTTAGACAAAACACTTGCAACATACGTTTAAAACAGATGAAATATTTAGAGCATACACTTCAAATATATGAGTATAGCCATTGCAGCATGTGCAGCATTCCGATCTACTTTTGCAACACAGATATGAAACGCTTGCAACATACCTCTGAAACACTTGAAATATACGTTTGCAATATGTGCTTTCAGCGCAACATCTCGTTGCTTGGGAATAGAGGCTCATTGGCGCGTAGAGTTCACCGGTGGCGCGAAGCTCAGCACTCCGGTGAAGAAGGCCGTGGTAGGTCCAGTGGAGAAGGCCGCGACGGGTCGCTCTAGTGGAGAAGGTGGACCACGAGCTGGAGAAGGGCGCGAGGTGGAGTGGGGCGCGCGGGGGGATAGTGCGCGGCATGGCAGTGGCGGCTGCGCAATGCGGCAGGGAGGCAACGACCGCTCGACTAGGAGAGGGCAGCTATGCACCACACCTTGTAAGGCCGGCAGCCGCATGCCGCGCCATGCAGGGCCTGGGGGCCAGCGCTGCGCCTTGGAGGTGCAAGCGGAGGCGACAGCATAGAGACAGAGCGACGCAGCGAGCTACTCCTTGCGGTTGAGAATGAGCGAGTGAATCGGTGTGTGGACCTATGTAGAGAAGCCACACGTTTAGATCTGATGACAAGTTAATGTGTCCGATGAAAAGCACCGTCTGGACACCCTAACCTAATCATTTTCAAAAATTTATTCCTATATGTTCTCGTGTTTGGAAGATGTTCATCACTCTTGCATTACCCAACACTACTCTATTTTGGTTTGTGTTTTCTTTAGTATTTTCTAAAATGCAATACGAAAGATGTGCAAGACAACTGGATTAACTTTTTTATGACACCTCATTAGGTCTGTTCAGCAGGCTGTTGCTGCGGATAGTGACTGCTCCCTCCATCCCAAAATAATTGATATTTTAGGTTTGTCTTAAGTCAAACCAATTTAAGTTTGATCAAATTTATAGGAAAGAATATTAATATTTATGACACTAAATAGGTAGAACATGAAAATATATTTCATGGCACATCTAATAACACTTATTTGGTATCATAAAACTTAATACTTTTTTGTATAAAGTTGGTCAAATTTGAAATAGTTTGACTTAGGACAAAACTAAAGCATCACTTATTTTAAGACGGAGGGAGTAGCAAACACTGTTAAGGTAGGCAAGAAAGGGGCCAGCCGCAGCAACAGCCAACTGATCGAACAGGCCCAATGGGTTCACAAGAACTTACATGAGCTAGTTTACGTTGGTCACTGCGCTTTATTGCTTTTTGAGAGCTTGATTTATGGTTGTGTGGATCCATTAGCATTCAAAGTTAGCTGGATAATAGCCGCTAATTTTTAGCAAGAGACTGTTCTGCTAATAGTGTATATAAACTATTAGCACATATTACCAACTTCAAAATAGCTAATGGAAGTAATAGTCAGTAGCCTTCCAACTAATAGTTAGTAGGTTTATTAGCAGGTTTATTTGAAATTCACCTGTACTAATTCTAACTGTTGTTTTTAGTACTAATGGATCTAAATATGGCCTTAACTAACCGAATGTTAAACTTTATAATAACCAGCAAGGGAAACCAATACGTATAGGAATTAAACTTTATATCCTTGCTAGACATGGGTTGTTCTAACTTGTACGAGCGTGAGTCATGAGTCTAGGTCATATATGAGATCAGACGGCATAACTCAATACATATTGAATCCGACCTTGTATCCATCATTACTAGACACGAGTTGTTCTAAATCATATGAGCATGGATCATAAGTCTGGATAAAGTAAAAATTAAAACAGTACAGAAGAAAATCTCCATTTTCCGTGTAGGTATGGGGACGATGAGAAAAAAAATCATAAAATTTTAGCTCTTTAATATTAGAGATATAGATAAAAGGTCGAGGGCAACGAATACAAAGCCCAAATAAAAATAAAAACTTTTTCTCTAAAAACAGTCCGGCCAAACATGGGCTCCCAGCCAGCTAATATTGAAACATGAGCTGTTTTAGACCAACGGTCCAACCGATTAGACCCATTAAACCGTGAACCATGGACTTCATCTATCCAACGTCTGGTCTGGTCAATGAGCTTCCAGCTGAAGTTTTACTACCTATAAAAGCATCTTCAAAAGTAACATATTTCCCTTCCCAATCCTTAGTTTTTAGCAAGATAAAAAAAAACACATCTCCAACAACTCCGAATCCATGCTCCTAAAATTTAGGCACTTGGAAAATCCTCTCCCGTTACGCTTAACTTTACGTGTAGTAGTGGGCACGTGGATCCGGTGCGTATCCGTCGCCGGTCGGTCAATCTGAAGGTGTAAGGGTGTGGCGAAGAATAAGAAGTAGGAAAGGGTTCCTGTTGCAAATGTACGAGAGAGAAAGAATATATAGAAAAGTGGTTACGATAATTTAGAAATAATATAGGATTTCTGATGTAAAATTATCTTCTATGTTGTAGGAGCGGATTATTGAAAACTCTTAAAGATAACCTTTTTTCCTATCAATACATTTTTAGATGTTGCAAAACTATATGTTTTTGGAAGGAAAAAATAGAATACTCTTCGAGATGTACTACCAAGCTCATCGATAGAACAGGCATAGCAAGTGCCGCGACGGCACATGGCCCTGAAAATTTGGTGTGCTCCCAAATATAAATCTATAATTATTAATACAGACTACCTACTTAGTTCTTAAGTACATTATAACAAGAAAAGCGTAAGAAGAAAAGAAGACTTAAGCATATGATATATAATAACACTTTAAGAAAAACACATGTTTTAGTTATACACTTCCTCCAAATATAAGACATGATTTGACTTGATATGAGTCTTCAAGATCATATTTTAGAAATAAAAGTTTAATCGTTAGAAAGTATTCATAAATATGAATCTAATTTAACTACTTTTGTTGCATTGACTTTTCGCTTGATTAGACTAATTATTGATAAAAAATAAACAAAATTTGAAATATGTGTGTGTCTTCAGTGATAAAGAGTAATAATTTAAGATATATATTTTAGTTTTTCTATAGAAACAGATATATATTTTGTCACTTTTCCTATATTTCATGTGTCTGAATTTTAAGATAATTTCAGGCAACGCTCTTATATTACCGATTAATACAAGTAAATTGTCACTTTTGTGATTTGTTATTTGTCTTTGTGTCATAACATATTAAATTCTTGTCCTTGTCCGACTATAGAAGTATTTGTAAATTATCAAATTGTCTTTGTGCCAACACCCTCAGATTTTTCACGTTTGTGATTTTGTCTAAAGGATTTTTTATTCTCGGAACAAAAAATTGCAGATTATGTCTATAGAAATTACAACAAACTAAAACTACAATTTTAGTATAAAATATATGTAATAACTGTCGCCTAAAAGAAAACTAAAATTCAGGCACCTAAAATTTAGCAAATCCCTTATTTTAATTACATCTCAAATCTAGGATCTCATTTTGAATTTTGCATGGTGACCTTAAGGGCCAACCGACTAGCCCTTCCATGGGTCATGGGTTTAACGTTGGAAAAAGTCTATTTTACCTCCCCAAACAATCCTCAAAGTCTAGTTTTCCTCCCTGAACTCAAAAATCGGGTAAACCACCTCACTCAACTTTTAAAACCATTCATTTTACCTCCATGACCCGGTTATAGGTGGTTTTCAAAGGCGGTTTTGTCATTTTCTTTTTTATTTATTTTGGCTGAATTTTTGAAAATCATAGTAAATTGTAGAAAAATCATAAAATGAAAAATACAATTTTCTTGGACTCCACATGAGTAGATCTACACACTAAATATATAATATGGTATGC